GGATCTTTGCTCGTGGAGATCGTTCGACCAATAATTTCATAGCGTTTCTCGATTGAAAATCTGTTCTGTAAAAGTAATACGGTACGTACCTGTGGGAAATATTTTACGTATCTATATAATATATTTCACAAAAGGGAGCATGTAGATCGTAGTTTATAGAGACGTATATATATATATATTTGTAGATAGATGTAACCGATTAAATCACAATTTAACTCGAACTTTATTCTATATACACTGTGATATTTAGAGGGATATAATTGTTAGATGGAATTTTTTTATAATATTAGAGAAGCCTTGGTAGTAACGTTATTCTAACCGATATTAAATGGTTCGAAATAAATATAATAACATCGTTGCTTTGATAGCCCGTGATTATTAAAATAATAACAAATAACATTAAGGCGTAATGCTTCTATTAAAAATTCCGTACCGTTAAACTGCAGAATTAGAAATCCACAACGAATATTAATTTCGCACGTACAAGCTTCGCTCAGAATACGTTGGAAAAGGCTATTATCCCATCTAGCGAAATTATACACGCACTTAGGGTGGAACGAAATAACATAGGAAAATAAATTCGTAACTTTAAAAAAAAAAAGCAAGAAAGAAATAAAAGTGACAAAAATCGAATAAAACAACAGAGCTTGAATATTTCAATATATATACATGCTTCAAACGTCTGATGAAAGAGGCAAATCTTATCACTATCAGAGAAATAATATTTTCGTTTTACCCTAATTCACGCGCATACGTTACGCGAATAGATACGACACGAAATAACGTTCCACAATGGCCCTATAACACTTCACCTTCTCCAAAATCACCGATCACACAGGTAAACGATCACAGAGAGGGGGAAAAAAAAAGCTGACGTATTCTTTTGCTCTGTTCACAGGTTTCCCAGCGGCGGCGTACGCGGCATACGCGGCAAGCCGCGGCTATTCTGGGTACCCTAGTTTCGGACTGCCCTACCCGACAGGTAACCACCTTAGCCTTAACCACCTTAACCACCATAATGCGGCCCACATCGCGCCCCTCAACCTGAACTTGAACCTGATACAGGCACAGCCTGCACCCCACCATAACCCGCCTACCCCCACACCGCTCTTTTACCATCCCAATTTGGACCTCTACAACGCCATGCCTCTGTGAACTAACTAATAACGTGTATAATCTAATAACAAAATCTCGACATCGAGCTATGCGCACATATCTCTAACTCAACAAACCCTTAATTACCAGCCATTGCTACACCATTTTACTAACTGTGCTCTCGCTGTCGCTACTCGTTGTCCTGCTCGTCGTTGTCGCCGTCGTCTCTGTCCTCCGCGATCCTAACACGAGAATCGAGCGAGTATACACCGACGCGTGGGTGGATCTGGCAAGATGGACGAGCCAAACGACAACGTTTGGAAATCGAGAGGCACGGTTCGAAGGAGAAACCAGGCGCGACATGCAGAGAGGTTCGAGGTGTTTGTTTCGTGACTGTGAGCGTTTTCCAGAAATTCATTCATTGAAAACGAAGGCGCCTCGAATCACTCGAGTTTGAGTAGAGAATATCTGGACAATTTCGATTGATGGGTTAATTTCAATGAGGAATGCTCCTTCGAGTTCGTGGCCTTCGTCACGTCAGTTCAGATGACCGCGCGAGATCGACGATCGCGTGATCGATTTCTCATGATCGAGGAGAGATCGAGAGCGAAGCGTTTCGTCGTTTATTCGCTCGCATTCTATCCTTTTTCGATAAGGCTTTCGTTTCGACGTGTTTGCAAGAGGCCGGAAGTCGATGGGGATATATTCGTGCGACGGAGTCTCGTGCTCTCGACGACAGGACACTCGGTGAAATAAAGTGATCCAGAAGATTGCGCCATCAATGTTCCATCGAGGACGATATTGGTGGGGCAAACGATAAACCTCTCTATACGTCCACCGCGAAGGACGTTGTATATCAGCAACGTTTGCTCGGCCTCCGACGATCCTCAAGTTCCGAATCGGCGGAGCGCCGACAATCGATTAACGAAAGAAGTGGTGAGAACGTTGTACAAAATCGTTATAAATTATCATATCGATATAATCTTGTCGAGGTTAAGATTTAAGATTAGCAATAAGGAAGTGTCGACTCTTTGGACGAATTTTTACCCCGTTCCGTTTACCGACGAAATAATTGGAGAACGATCGATTCTCGTGTGATCGTAGCTACGTTTTCTATTTGGCGCGAATAAAATTAACGTTTTGTAAATTTTTATAAAAAGAAAAAACGCGAAAATTATGTTTGAAAATTTATAAATGAAAAAAGAAACGTTACACGTTATATATAAATTATATTCTCTTCGTCCGTGTTTATTCAATTATTGGTATATTAATGTATGCGTATCGCAAAATATGTTTTCAAACTCGCACCGAAAAATAGTCGCGTTTTGAACGATGAAATAATTCTCTCGATTGAATTTGTATTTGAAACGTAACGCAATTTGCATTTCTCGTAAAACTCGCCCTCGTAAAAAAAAAACGCACGCGCGGGCGTAAAAATGTAGATCGAAGAGAATTGAAATCCTCTCTTCGGGAACTGGGACAAGATAATGAGAGGCTGATGTATGGGAAAAGTTACGTCGTTAAAACCAACTCTGGCTTTCTTACCGGTCTGCGCTCGATAGCAGCTTGCGTGCCTTCGACTGTCAATAACAAACAACTCCGCTGCTACGGAATTTTCTTTCGAAGCATCAAGGCTTTGCGATCGGCGAAACGCTTTAAAATTGCTTCGGCTAATCGATTAATCAATTTCAATTACCTCTACCTCTATTCTCTCTCTCATTCTCTCTCTCTCTCTCTCTCTTTCTCTCTCTCTCTCTTCTTTTCTCCCCGGTATACAAATCGTTAAAACCGCGCATCGGATCCGATCGATCGGGTTAGACGAGCGGAAAACGAGGAGCAAAATGAAAATTTCAACGAATTAGTATTAAAGGAACGATACGGAACGCTACTTAACCCGTACGCCATTGAATAAATTCCCGATCCCGATTATTTATTAACTGCCACTCGTGGTAAACGAGTTCTCCGATCTCCCTTGGAGAATCCCTGGAGAGGAGTTGGCATATATATCCACCGATTCCCAAAATTCGCCGTACACCCGGCAGTCGAGATCGTCGAGTTTCAATCGGATATTGTTTAAATTGTCGAATATCGTCAGGGGTCGGTCGTAATTTAAGATTAATCGCGCGGTCACGGAACGGGGTAAAATGTCATTGTTAATATTAGGTAGGGGTAAACGGGAGAGCGTATCGATTGCGAACGATATGCGGAGTGAACCGCATCGCGGTTGATTCTGCACGCATAGATACACGTATATATATACGTATATGCAGTGAGGGGGCACGAGAGTAGAGCAATTAATAGGAAACGTTTCGAAAATGAACGCGTCCATGGATCCGGGGATATCGGGTGATCTAAATCGAACCGGTTGATTGGAGGTAGTTGCGGCCAAAGTTTTCGGGGTCAAGCGCCCTTCATGTCGAATTCGGGATCGAAATGAAAATCCGCAAGTCCGACGGTCAAAATGGAGTTTCGGTCCCGTGACGCTCTATAATCGGACCTCTCCCCCTCCCCTATCCGACGGAATTTCGAATCGAGGGGGGATGGGGGAGGGGAAGGGATCGTGGGCTTATTGTTCGCTTCGATCGGCTCGCGCGACGTGGAAACGACTTTTCGAGTGATCGCGTCGACGATTCTCATCGATCTGTTACTCTCGTCTCGATACGCGTATGTATGTATATTTATCCTGTTATTTTCAACGATAATAATTTTAAGGATTTTTTACTTGTTCGTTAATTATTTTTCTCACTGCCTTTCATCTTTGTTACATCGTATTAGGCTCATCGATATCGATAATTTTTCATCGACACGAAACAGTGAAAGGAATCATCGCGTTTGTCGTGAAGACAAATAGACAACAGGATACAGTAGTACACTAATCACGTCCCATATGGCGGGTTTTCTCAGACGTAACACCACCTTCGAAGAAGCTTCTTCTCGATCTCCCGTAACTACTTTCACCCTTGTCCGCCGTTCGGCCGTTGCTCTTACACGTCTTACTATAGCCCATTTGTTCCCTTCTCTTTCGTCCATTTCTGCCCATTTGTCTGTCTCGCTCGTCTTTCTTCGCGAACTATCTTTCTCACTCTCTTTCACGTTATATCATTCCGTCTCTCTCTCTCTCTGACCTTCTCTTTCTTTTTCTTTTTTTCTTTTCTTTTTTTCTTTTTTTTTTTTTTTTTTT